GTATCCACATTATACGTGAAATTGTACAGCACCGCTCCGGTAATCAGCGATTGCGTCGAAGTGTGAAGACCGTAGCGATTGAACGTGTAGAGCTTAAATATCGATCAATATTGATTTTTTTACGACTACTACTGCAACGTTCTTAACTTCTAACATAGAAGAATAAGCTAACCCAGAAATTCCTCACGTACTTACCTCATTTCGATCCGCATCAACGACACTATACTGCCGAGCCATCGGATCATATCGCGCGACGCGTGGCGTGATTCGTTTCACTTTCGCGTTCGCCGCGTCCGCGACGTAGACGCGACCAACGGCATCGACACTAACTGCTGACGGAGCGCTGAACAGCGCCATTTTCACTGAGATCACAGACATTGGCGAAGCCGCGTCGTCGCAGCCGCACGCGGCCACGTCGCACGCGCACGCTGTTTTCTGGCCGGCAATCACTGGGAAGCTCGTGCGATCAGCAGACAGGCGGCGGATCTGAAATAGATAAAAATAAGGAAATAACTACTCAAGTAAACAAACGAATAAATAAATAGGCAAATAGATAAATAAACAATCTAATTTTGCATTTATGGGCGTGGCTAAACTTACTTGGTTCAATTTCTTTCCATCCGATTCGATGACGTACAGTGACCCGTCGGTGGCTACAGCGATATCGCGCGCGTTCCGCAGGATATGCCGCGAAGAGGCATTTTGGCACGTTGTCAGAGCGCCCACGACAATTTCAGCTGTATCCTGGGCTCGATCGAGTTGGTAGACCACGTTCGAATCCAACACAAAAATTTGGCCGTTAGCAGATGTACCGACAAGGACGTAGGCCACTCGAGCTGGAAGTACAGAGTTGAATAACGACGGTGCAACGAAAGTAGCCGTGTACAAATCATGCATATTGATTGTATCGCCAACCTGTAAGCGCGCTAGTGGAAACACTGAACGGTCGCAAGATGGTGCACGGTCAAACGATGTGTCTCCTAATTGAGCGAATGTTGCTGTGGGTATCGATCACACGCAAACGACGTCCATCGGTCACTGAACAAATCAATATCAATCGATTTTATCTGATGGGAGCTCAGCTGTCTCAGAAATTAAAAAAAAAAAGAAAATGAAAAGGTATGAATATAACGGGATGCGAAATTACCGTATAAGTTTCCTTGTGCGTCATACGCAAGGCCCTTTGGGAAGAACAATTGGGCATCTGTGGCTGGTCCACCATCACCACATGAATCAGCTGCTGCTGGACATGCTGTTCCATCTCCAGCCAGTACCTACAAGTCCGAGCTCAGAGACAAATCCACTTGGAGGGTTAAACCCTGTGTGTGGTACTGTAAACGAGCTCACCTCATGATTGGCTGCTGGATCCAATGGTGAATGACTAAGAATTCGCCATAATTTGTTTATGAAGCGGCAACGATACCACCAAAAATCCATCCAATGGACTGACGGCCAGATAGTACGGATACGAAGTGTCGGGAAGGCTAAAAAATGTTATATGGGATACGGTAAGTCCAAAGGAACAACGCATAAATTGGAATGCCTAAACTGACCTCAATGATAATACCGTCGTGATTTGTCCCTCTGGGCCAATACGTCTCACAAGGTTATGATCACCAATAAACACACTTCCATCCAGGCCATGTGCAAGCGTTGATGGGCGGAACAGATTCGCCTAAAATGAACCCTTTTACAAAAATGGCCCTTTCACTAAAATTTTGACCAAAAATGGGGAAAAGATGAAGGGTAAGCGCGAACGAATCACTTTTGGGATGCGCCACGCAAACTACTTCCTACCAGGATCGCTGTAGCAGTTGAATGTGATATGGCCCAATACAATGACTTCAAAGACTGGTCAGTGTTCCCAAGCGAACCTAACACCAATTAACTGGAGGGTAGGGATGAGAAGTATGATTGACCCGAGTGGGATTTAATCCGGGATTCAAATACGGAAAATGCACGTGGGAAGTGGTATCACTTGCAATCCATGCTCCGAAAATATATGGGCAAGATAATTCGGAAGTCAGAAAATTTTAAGGCAGAATTCAGCAAAACCGCTGGTTTGGCCACAATGAACAAATTGAGCTATGGCATAAAAACGTTCTTGATCCAAAGGTACTGTGAATGAGAAAAAAAAGCGCGAAACATAGATTCGGTTATCACAATTATAGAAGCGCGAGTTTCCGGCAGTCTATTTGATGACCCAGTTTTATCCACCCGGAAATCGGCCAATTGGCTAGCATGGAGAGCTGGATGGGAGCAACACGGAATGAGATCTGTTTAGTCCTTACAATTGATACCTCCCAATGAGCTCACCTCTGTCACTGGGCCATTGCAATTCTGGCATTCCAGTTGGCGACGCTTATTCGTACCGACCAATAACTCTAACACCGGGGCTGAATTCGCTATGAATCGCCGTCCTCCATTACCCATTTCCAGTACACCTGAAAGAAGGCATTAACAAATAAATGCATAGAATTTATTAATCCGCTGCTCCTAAAGTGGCGGAGTTTGCGTTACCCCACCCCCCATTGACAGCATCCAGATGATGATGAATATCCACACTCCAAGCTCCGCCCTCAAGGCGACGGGCACGCGCTCCTTCCATAAACACTCGACGGCTTATCCATGCTAGCTCGGACGGTCGACCACAACCTCGGTATTCATAGCCAATTTTTACTGAAAGCAAGTAAATTTGGAGCACTCATTAGGCATCTCAGAAAATTCGATAAATAGATACACACAAATAAAAAATCACCATCGGCTGGAATCATTCCGTGGTCGCTTTGACGGTACACGTTCAGCTTATCCCACGACCACACGTATGTAAGGTTTTCACGCGGCGCTAGGCTGGAAACGATGAAATCAGTGAAAATCGAATCGATGAACAACCTTTCTTGACGAACCGCCTTTTGCTAACGCTTCAAAATTCTTCCCATATCACGTGACCCTTTTTTGCGCAAAAGGTGCGAAACCAAGAGGGTCAGCGATACAGGAAGCAGAATCAAGGTCTATCCCTTTATATCTGTGAATAATTATACGAAGTTATACGAGAACGACCACTTACCTCTTCTCGAAACGTTCCTTCCCGGCGATCTTCACTATCACATGCACAAGTCGAACATCAGGATCAGGCTTGTTTGGCAGAAGCCCCAAAACGAGCGTGGACTGCGAAGACGTTGCTCTTGATGAATCGTAGACCAAGCGTACAGACGAGCCAGGAAGTGGAAGACTGGAATGTGCAACAAATTGATGACCATCGCTTGTGAACATCCACCTATTTTTTCTACAAATTTCCTTCATAGTTATTACTTCACCAACCATTTCATAACGTTAATCAAAGTCCTATTTTCGGTGTCCGATAATGCGTTTGAAGAGTTTCGTGGCAGGAAAGTGAAGGTAGAAAACAAGCGAAATAAGTCTCATGCAACTCAGAGTGCGGGACATATGTGTCCCGCGCTGTCCCGTGTGTTAGATCCCAGAAGATTCAAAAGTCATTTTGTTTGAACACTCGAAATTTTCGTAACACTATTTTGTAATATGAAAAGATCATGGAAGGCCGTCACGAACAAAGGCGCCTAACCTGAAAAAACCCATCAAACCGTTCAGCCACGTATACGGTATACACCCGTAGACGCCGTGAATTTGAATAAATTGGTACACACCTAACTTAATTTGCAGCGCTATCTGGCCCTATTCGGCCAACAAATGCCCGTGTGTTCTTCAAGAAACCCACCTCTGAACGACACTCCTTGTATCAACTACGAGAGTTGCAGCACTTGTTGAAGACGGTATTCCATCGGTAGAAACAGTCCACTCAGGTCGAAGTACTGGTATTGGTAGTACCCGATTGGCTATCGAGCATTCTGGGCGGGCACTCAATTCACGTTGCTGAAGAACACAATAATCAGTAATCGAACCTACCAAGGAAATATGGTCCCTAAGGAACCAACCCAAAAATTATCACAATTTCAGGGTTGAGCCCAGAGCTTCTAGGTGACAGGACACTGACGCGGAGATGAGGGCTATTCTCCCGGGATGAGGAAAGAACATCTACCTTTACAACACGGTTTCACCTCACGCTGCTCGAAACTTACTTCAAATAGAAAACCATAAAAAAGCCCCGAACTCATAAACCAACCCCACTCTTGCTCATATCCATTTGGGAATAGCATTCGCCCTTGCTGGGACCTTCGCTGATCCCCGGTGACCTTAAATTCGTGTCACTCTCACCTCTAATCGTACTCGCCGTCCCTAATCCGTCTTATCGTACATGGATCACGGACAATCCCTGTTTCCGGTCGGTCTACAGTCCCCAAACTAGTAATTTTCGACGATTCCTCAGCGCTAATTAGTCGCCATGCCGGCTGGCGGTGAACCCTTTGATGCTTCACAAAACGGTAGGATCCTTGAAGGCCGGGAGTAACGTACATGGACTCCAGATTGACTACATTCCATGCTCTGTTTACCCTTTTGAAATGCCCATAATTCTGACCCGAATTCTTCAGTCAGCCCTACTGTATCAATCAATGCCTATTATTTCCACACCACATGCTAAGACTAGAAATTTTTGGGTCTGAGGTTTCTGAAAAAAGAAAAACTCACCTCTTCCCGTGCCATTTTGACTGGATCGACGACAACAATTTCATTTGGAGGCACGTAGACGCTCCGTTTTATGCGCTGAAAAGGCTCCACTCAATTTTTATAGTTTAAATATTACTAAAATATTTCTTGTAAACCAAGGGGCGTGGCACTTGACGCTAAGCGGATCCGAAACTCATGAGCAGAGGAAATTTTCGCTAAAACAATTCCCGTGCTTCAAGAGACAAACTCGTAGGTCATAAATATGACGCAAAAAGTCCACGTAAACGCTTCGCTTCACGCGCCGCTGCCACAGCCACAAGTGGCAATAGATTGGAATCCATTACAAAATTGTTCAGATATAAAACGTCGTGTTATTCAACAAATAGCATCTTGACGTACTTGGAAAGGACTCCTCAAGAATTGTAGGTTCACTGTCCGGCCACCGTTGACAAGCAGGTCAAATTCGCCATCAAGTCTGGTGAGAGTGAACCCATAGAGTGGATTTGCTGCATCCGACACCTAATAAGAAACAATCATAGCATAGGGTTGTAATTGTTAACTACAGATTATAGTTGTGGGACTACCGTACCCTCACTCCAGGCAGAGGTACTGTACTTTTGCTGTCACTGACTGCTCCACCATTCCAAACCACACGACCACGAATCACCGATATCATGCTGAAAATGACTTCAATTGAAGAAAATTATATTCCATGCAGGGACAATTAGGGTCGACACCCTGTAGATAAATCTCTTGTTAATCACAAGGAGCCTTCAGGATGGAACTCAAAAGCTTCCTCAACACTGCATTTTCACGCCCAATTAGTACTTCTTGTCCCTGATTCAGCTATAGGACGTTATTGTTGCTTTGCCGCCGCCGCCGCGTCACCTCATTTCCAGCAACTCGGCGATGCAAATTCGACATTCTCTAATCGGATCATCGCCACCGCACAACATCCAATAAAGACCTCGTCAATAAGGACTAAGGAATCACAATAAGCCTGCCCTATCTAAAAGTACGACTACTTTTGTCCCATTTGACAAATTTCCAACGAGATCCATGAGGATAGAAAAAGAGAAACCATATTGATAACCATTTCCAAAACTTTCTCGGTTCCCAAAAAAACATGAAAAGAAAAAAAATCAAAAGCTAGACATTTTCATATAAGTGATATGCCAGCAAAATTAACGTTCACGGCCAAAAAGGACTGCGTGACTGTTAAAAAAGCGTACTGCGTTGAGTACTAAAGCCACCTCGTAATTTTTTACCGGAGTAAGCATCCAATCTGGAGATTTTTCTAGCATTACCCTCAAGTTCCTCAGAGGGCGGAAGTGGTGTAGTGGCAAGACAAGTGGCACGCTTACCACGCGAGCGGTCCGGGGATCAAATCCTGGGTCGTGAGTCGCCCGGGCCAACCAAGCCTTCCATCCCTCCGGGGTCGGTTAATTGGTACCAGACTTGTCTGGGAGGATAAAAACACTGACTTGTACATCGGCTGGCCCCCGCAAGTCATTGTATAGGCCATCGCATTCAAACGCCACTACGAATGTACAAATGGAAGTAGAATGCGTGCCGCATCCCAAAAAGGGATTGATCAACGGCAAATGCTTTATCCTTTATCCTTTATCCTCAAGTTCCTCATCATAAATCCCACAGGTACCATCATTTAATGACAATAAGAGGTTTACATCTAACGAGTTAGTTCTCCATTGATTACCACAAACAGCGGTAAGTCGCCCGAAGCCGTCAATGCAAATCACCAGCTGAACGACAATCTTCACGAGGATACTCCTTTTTGACCTAATTGCGTCCCTAGTGATTAAAACCCAGGGATAAAAGGGTTAAGGGTGACATTTGCCTCAAAAGTATGTCACATGTGGTGGTACATATATATGTGTGTCCAATTAATTCAAAGGAAAAAATAGCCTCTCGGATGGAAAAAATTCCAACCTTACCTTTCATTGAACTGTGAATGATCCGAATAGCTCTGGACAGAATCGTTACGAATGATGAACGAAACACGCTGAAAAATACCAGTAAGTCTGCCACATGATATTTGGAAGCCTTTCTTTGATAAATGACAGCCGGTATTAAAGCTTTTTTTGAACGAAACTGGCAGAAACGTAGGCTTTAAAGACTAGGCAACTTCAGCAACCGGTCAGCCAATTGCCCTGTCCATCGAAAACAGGAGAAGCTACCCAGACTTACCTGGAAAAAGTTGGCGTTCTGTACAGCAGGCAGTCGTAGCAGTACATCGACAGGGGTAGGAACCGCAGCACATACGGGTTCTCGGGAACATTCCGACGACGAGCAACATTCCGGATCATCGCAATCGATTAGACCATCTGGAATGCTTTCTTCACCAGTACTAGTGATTTCTTAGACCCTCTAAGGTAAGGTAAGTAGTTCTGCACATTCAGAGTAGTTGCTAAATCTGGTATCTGCCCAGTTAAAGTGGTCTGGTTCAAAAAATGGTGGAAATTTCTCAGCCCATCTCTTACTTGTCCCTTCTACCTGTCCCTTGTTCCATCTGTTCTAAGCGAAAATATAATACAATCTAGGTACTGAGGATGAACTGCAGTTTCAGGCCCTTTGACCAGGCTCCATTCTATGACCCGTCAGGGTTCACTTATAAGGCTTACCATTGTCATTGTCGAGTCCATCCTGACAATCGGTCTCCACTGGCACAGCACAATCGCCACCAGTGAATGAAGGCTGACAATCACATCGCCATCCTTCGCCATCATCGTCTTGCAAAGAACCCCAACGACATTCACCATGACCAGAACAGGACAGTGGGCACCCTTCTATAAAAAATTACTTGAAAAAACTCCGTTGAAAAATAAAAATGAAAATACGTTGAAAAATCCTTTTCCATAAACCGTCTACTGAGACAGGTGAAATACAATGACTAATTTGAAATTTTTGTGAGTTTATTCCTTCTGTAGCTTTCTTCTTTTTTTCAAACTAATGCGAATTGTGACGTGGGTGGGCAATTACAAAAAAAAAAACACATCACCTGGCGTTTTGATGCCCTTCACCGCGATGTGACGGGGTCACATGTACTAGTAAAGCTGCATGCCGACAGAATTATCGTCGCCAGAAACGAGTGTGCACATACAAATGTATGAAAGAATACAGACAAAGGCAATTAGAAGAGAGAGGTCATCCAGAGCTAAGCCCGAGAAACCACATTTCACCAGCGTCATTCTAGCGCAGGAATTAAGACTCAGAATTCCTACCTATCGAAAGCATTGGAATAAGGAAAATCGGTCGAAGGGGTTTAGGAAAAATCCCGTTGCGAGGCCCAATACGTTTACGAGCAAGTCGAATAAGCGAAACGAGGGTGAAAACCTCGAACGCGGTTGAAAAAGCCCCAAGCAGGTCACGCGTGCCAATGCAATGAGCCGAAATGTGATCGCTAGCGACCGACTATCTCACTCAAACCTCAGACAAAGAGAGAGGGCAAAAACTGAAAAGTGGAAGGCGCAGAAAAAATGACTGACTTCCTTAGCCTCAGAGACCCCCCTAGTCCGATTCTACAGTTCACCGATTCCCACAGGAAAACAAACATCAAAATTGCGTGAGATTGAAAAGTGAACGCATGTAGTCGTACAATTGAACTGTCGAAAAAAATCTGGCACTGGTGATCGCAAGATAGGGGGGCATTGTGATGCCAATGCATTTAGAACCGCGTTAAACATCTCTTTTTTGTTTAAAGGGTGTAAGTTTGAGGCAGAGCAGGAGAGACCTAAAGTGCAAAACCAGATCTCATCGTCCCCCAAAGTTCCTGTCCCCACGTAATTTAAATTAATCTTAAGGGATGCCCCAGAATCTTGCGGATTGCCGCAAATCTGTAATGTACCCCTGCAGAGCAGCACGTCGGAACCACTTTTCATTGTCCGTGAAGAAAGGAAACGAAAAAAAAAGAACGACTCCTCACCTATATGACAATTTTCTCCATTCCAGCCTTTGTCACATAAACACGTCCCATTCTTCATGCATTTCCCGTGCTCCTGGCAACCTAAACTGACAAGGCACTAAAAATAGAAATATTCGTATAACTTGGACAGAACATCTCCAGACGCGCTTGTGTCAGAACGCGTATAACTTACCGAAAATACGAAATCCAAAAGTAGGGTTTGAGATGACGTGAGCCAGCGAAAAGGCCAGCTGAGCGTTGGATCGTCGCTCTGGCCCGACAAATTTTGTCTTGACACGATTACTCACCCTCTTGCAACCCAGGCGGAAGTGCGCGTAGTGCCGTAAGTGCATCGCGCTCACACGGCGAGCGGGCCGGGGACCAAATCCTGGGTCGGAGCAGGGTGAATAACGGTCGAGGAAATCCTCGACAGGGGGTCGTATTTGCTCCGATGAGAGTTGGGAGGGGGTCGTAATCAAAAGGGTCATCAACGGACACAACGGTGCTGCTGCCACTTATTTTGTCATCATTACTTTCACAAGTGTTGTAGTTAGCCTAATGCAAATAATATCTTACACCTGTCTGGAATTAAAATTCAAATGGAAAGTGGTTGTTGGTTTGGTTCGTAGTGATCAGTATGGCATAGGAAGGCAACGCGTCCTGCAAAAGAATCGTAGGGAAAGGGCAGCGAGTATCTACTCTAGAATGATGTACATGCTTCGAGAACTTAGTGGAGGAACAGCATCTTGGTAGAAAGTTCAAAACAGGCAGATTCGCAGCCTTCTTGGCATCATCAGATCCTGCAACCGCAAGCTGTCATTCATCAGAACGGGTTGGAAAGGAAGCGATTTGAATAAAGGAGTGATCAGACATCACTATGACCACAAGAAGTTATCCTAATTAGTTAATACTGGAAATATCTTTTGGTGTGCTTAAGCAAGTCGTCACTAGGACAAAACACCTTCCCAATGACTCCGAGTGGGGTCACTGCATGGCGCATACAAGAACGGAATGGATCTGCGCCAAGTGCATCATTTTCAATTTACTCCATCGAACTGACGTGTACAGAAGTATTTTGAAGGTGTTCAAAGAAGTTCCCTACTACGGCGAGGGAGTAATAGAGTTTTCGAGTGGCTTCGAAAATTTCCTTGACATTTCCTCGACGCAGATTTCTCGCGAACTAGAAAGCGTTCGAAACAAATGGAGCACCTGTTTTAAAAATCTTAGGAGGAGCGTTCGTGGAATCGTCTACCTCCACAACGCCGCTATCCCGGCTATACAAAGTTATCCGATTTTCAAAGCATTGCCAATGAAGACAGCTACTGCCTTCCTAAAGAGTGGGAACTCGCATGTAAATTTCAATTTCCTCGACAATTTCTCGACGTCTCCCACTCTCGAGAATAGGCGTGCTTAGAAAAACGCTCAGCACAATTAGAAACTAGAAGTCTTGTGCATTCAAAAGCTGCCTTCACTTTTTGAAATGGTTATCAATGAAGAAAGTTATAGTCCTTTAAATAGGGGGTACATTTGACGATTTTTCCAACTAGCGCGCTCTAGGCACAGCGCGCGACGCGATCGCGGGTAGTTAGCGCCGCTATACTGGAGCGCGAGACTGTTCAACTGTGTAGGGGCAGTACCTCCTTCAATGTTCTACTTTCCGGCCAATGTGGCAAAGGTAAATGTCTTTAAAGGAAAGAAGGAGAACCTAATCTGAGCAGAATTGAATCTAGCATTTGGATCAAGCCGCATTTGCGTGGCAGTGGCGCTGCGTCCCTCTCGCACATCTGAAACTAGCATTTTTTGATATGAAACCGGATGTGCAGAGGACAAAAAGGGGTCGTATCAGAGTCCATGTTTTGGAGGGGGGTCGTAAAGAGGCGGTTATTTCCTCGACACGATTTTCACCCTGGGTCGTGAGTCGCCCGGGCCAACCAAGCCTTCCATCCCTCCGGGGTCGGTTAATTGGTACCAGACTTGTCTGGGAGGATAAAAACACTGACTTGTACATCGGCTGGCCCCCGCAAGTCATTGTATAGGCCACATCGCATTCAAACGCCACTACGAATGTACAAATGGAAGTAGAATGCGTGCCGCATCCCAAAAAGGGATTGATCAACGGCAAATGCTTTATCCTTTCCTTATCCTTTCAACCCATGCGCCTGAATAACTGCGGGAGGTAAATCCGGTATGGTAGGAGGATGGGATACAGGAAGGATGAGCTAAGAATGCCAGAAAAAATCTCGTCGAGCGGACAAGACCGCTTCACGCTAGCCGGGTTCGTGGCCCTCAGCCTTCATCTCGAAACCCTCTGCAATGTATAAAGGCGCGTCTGCAACAGCGCAAAGAACACAACTCTTCTGCAAAAATTATGATATATAATTTCAAATTAAAAATTACAAAGGAGAAATTCCATGTTCAAAGGACGCGGAGATTTTGCGCAAAATTCAGTAAAACGTGCGAAAAAACCGAAATTTTCACGGGGCTACTAGCGATTCGCTAGCGTCCGCGGTCGCGTTGCGGTACCAGCCAATTGAGTGATTCAGACGCTAGCGAATCGCGCGATTCGCAAAGTCTGACATCGGCCTAAACCATGACCCAGAAACCTGTGAGCCCTGATCAAGCCCTGTTCGCACCATTTCCGAACACGCCGTCGATTCAGTCCACTATGACCAATCCCTTCTCTAAAGCCGAATACTAACCCTTCCCACCTCTGCCGGAAATTCCTCAATGTTGGCTCATTCTGGGGTAGAGACAGAAAGCCCAAGGGATCTTTTGCGCTCATATTTTCCAACAATCTGTGAATATTCTCACGATTTTAAAGTATTATCTGTTATTGGTGATTAAAAAAGAAAAGAAAAGCAAATTTTTATATCGGGCTACCCCGTGGGTTAGAAAAAAATAAGGAGACAAACTTGGAATAGTTCCATATTTCATACCTATAGCACAATCAGCATGATCGCATAGATTTCCAGTCCATCCCACTTCACATATACACAGGCCACTTTTACACACACCATGTTCACATGGAGGACACACTTCTGAAAATCGATACAAATCAATAACATCAATAAAGATCGATCGATTGAATAAAAGTCACTGGAGTTCCACACAATTGGTACCTCTCTCGCAGTCCCTTCCTTCCCAGCCACGATCACATCGGCATGCATCCGCCACAAATTTCCCATGATTGCTGCAGTTCGGTAGCGGTAGAATTATCTGAAACGCAATCGATTGAACTGTCAACTCAATTATTGATCGAATTACCGTCGATTGTAAGTCTCATGGCATCAAAAGCGTCATCTCAAGGTTAATTTCACCCTGAAGAAACTCACTTTACTAGGCTTAGGCAACTTCTGTCTATCCAACTCTCTACTGATTTGCCTCGGTTTTTCACTCGGAGACGGCATCACTTCGACCATCGGCACCAGGGCAGCCACTACGGTAGCAGGTACGGTAGCAATAGTTGGTTCCATAATTTGCTGAATAAATCGCTAATTGGTAGGTTCAATGGGTTAGGTCGTTCAAAACTCACCTCAGCACACTCTTTTCCCCTCCATCCGTCCGTACAGTAGCATTGGCCGTTCACGCAAACACCGTGATCAGAACAGGTCGGGTGGGGGCATGCTCGCTGAAAATACATCAGGTACTCTATATGCCTCTGCGTCAGTCAGATCTAAACCCTACACATC